GGGTGGGGACTATTTCCAACAATGTTAGAAAATGTAACAGAAACAATGCTTAAAGGTGATACACTTATTGGAACCAGAAGACAAGGTCTCTAACCAAGAATTTAAAGAACATGAACTAATTAAGAGAGAAAGGAAATATGCAAGAAACATGAGTGAAAAGTCTAGAGATGAAAGTACAGGATTTCAGGGGAAATGGCACTGAGAGCAGACCAAAGCCTGCAGAAAGCCTTCTTCGCATGTGTTGGGGGTTGTTCTGATTGGGCCCTCAAGATCTGGTTACTCCCCTGAATATACCTATCCTTTCTGTGTAAACTGCCTAAGACATACCTGAATTTTAAATTAAATGGCCTGTACCTGGGCAGGGCAGAGTGGGGTGGGTGTGGCGAAGGTTCCTGAGCTTTGGAGGACTGGAGAATCATGGGAGACAGATGGGAAGAGTGGAGGCAGGAGGATGCCATGATGTGTTAGTGTGGAGAAGGAACCATGTGGGCCTGGAGGAAGGATTCCAATAATGGCCTAGACAGGCCCAGATGAAGAATAAAAGCAAGTTATTTATAAGATTATCGATGGAAGGTAGCCCAGGTAAGGATGGTTTCAGTGTATGGTATTAGATGGGGGCTGGGCGATGGATGGTGAGGTTATTGAGACAGCGTAGATAGAAATATCTGTCCAGCCCAAGGTAATAAGACAATTACAAAATCTAACAAGTATCTGTGTCTTATTATTTCTGATAGCAGGTCAAATAATATCACCAAAATAGTTATAGGGCAAATAATGATAAATAACATTATATAGCTCAACATCATTTTTATTAACAACAACACGTAATAAAGAAATGAATACCTGCCTCACAGTCTGGTAGGAAGACCTATATTGCACAAAAATTGTACTTGATCTCTTTTGTTTTAAAATGTAGTAGACACCAATTTACTTATCTACATAGAACCCATTCCCCCGACTCTTCTTGGTAACCACAACAACAAATTTCTTCAGGTAGGCAGAAAAGTGTTGGGTCAAATTCTATAGAAACATGGTGATTTGGGGAGAAATTTCCCCTGGAGTCAAGTATTTGAACATTTGTTCCCCAGTCAGTGGTCTATGGTTATGGAACCTCTGAGAAGAATGGCCATGCCAGAGGAAGTACCTCACAAGACACATCTTGAGGGTTTATAGCCTCACCCCACTTCCAATTCTTTCTCTCTGCTTCCTGTATGTCAGTAAATGTGTTCACCAGCTCCCTGCTCCTTCTGTCATGCCATGCCTTCCCCCATGAAGGACTCTATCCCTCTGGACCCACAGGCCAAAATTAAGTTGATTTTGGTCAGAATATTTTACTATGACAAAGGAAAAGGCAATGATACAGAAAGTCAGGCATGACAACTCTAGCTAATTCTAAACATAAAAGAAAGGGGGGACACAGTATGATAGCCCTTTAGCTCTCTAGATAAAGGGAATTCCTAAGACTGACTTTTCTGTATTTCTGTCTTCTTTTTGAATCCACAGAAGACAGCTCTGATGGTCACAGCTCTAACTGCCATCTCATGGGAAAAGCCAAGAAATTACAGTGAGACTTCTCACTTGACATTTAATTACTCTTTTCTCTAAACTTAAACATATGAACTCCTAGCTTGGTGGAATCAGTTAGATTCGGAAGATGAGGAAGAATCTGTAGAAAGTAAACCCATGGGTATGTTGAGAAAGGAACTGAGGAGAAAAGGGCTGTATGACACATTTCTTTCTGTTTGGCTATACAAAGTAATAGATTTTTAGGCTAATTCACATTGCTAACTTCCCAGTTCCAGTACAGTATTACCTGTGATGGTTAATTTTGACTGTCACCTTGACAGGCTCTAGAATCACATAGGAGACACACCTCTGCATAGACAAACATACCTGCATAGAATTTCTAAATATGGTCAACTGAAGCGGGAAAACCAAGCCTAAATGTGGGCAGTATCATTCATAGACTATTGTACATTTCATGAAATGGAGAAACTTAAAGCCCACAGGCCACTCTCTGCTGACTCACTGTGGATGTAATATAACAAGCTGCTTCATGCTCCTGACACTATGCCTTTCCAGGCATGATTACCTGAACCCTCAACCTCTGAACCAGGATAAATCCTTCCTCCCTTAATTTGCTTTTATGTTATGGAAAGTGACTAATCCATAACCAATGTGTCTGTAAATTGTAATCAGCTGTAATATGAGGTATGATGGGAAAAAAAACAACAGATAAGGAGAATAGTGACATTCGGTGAGCTACAAAGATGACTCAGAAGTTAGGAGCACTTGCCATTCTTAAACAGGACTCAGGTTCAGTTCTTGGCACCCACATCAGGGAACACAAAACTGCCTGCCGCCCCAGTTGCAGAAGATGCTGACTCCCTCTTATGGCTTCCATGGGCATCTGCACACTCAATAGTACATATAATCTCATGTAGACACAAACATACACATAAAAATAAACCTCTTGCAAAAAGGTGTTAAGAGAGATGCAGATGTGTAGTCAAACAGAAAAACAGGAGACCTAACAAATAAGCACATGCCAGTCTGGGAAAGCACTAAAGAAAAATTCTCACAACTGCACCTCTCTACACCACCAGCAAATGGCTACCATAAAATGAGTGTGCTGTAAATGTGGTAGGGAAAGGTTTCCTGGGAAAGATCCTAGTATGAGTGAGGTGTGATCTATTCCAGCACACTGAGATGTCCGCCAAACAGCCCCAGAGGTGAATGGGAACTGTGCTCAGTTGCAAGCATCCTACAGTTAGGTCACCAAACAGGTACTAAGATGGAGCACAGCTGCCAATGCCCTAAAATGGTTACCCTAGATTAAGCCAGACAGGCCTTCCTTAGGAATCAGAAACTAAACATGGTGCTCAGACATCAGTGACTTGGAAGCTCTGTTTATGAGTAACCATGAGCTTTATTCCCCCACCCATCACAAGCAAAAGAGCATCTGTCACTCATGAAACTGGCCTGGTGACTTCAGGCACACACACACACACACACACACACACACACACACACACACACACCTGACTGGGTTATGGCCTGTATTTTAATTAAAAAAAAAAAACCTGGTGGAGGACTTGCCCTTAAGCCTTTAGAAACCCTAGAAAACCTTCTTGCTCCCACATCGGGTGGCTGTTTCTTACTCTACAGAGACAGCCTGGCAGTTTGCACTCCACCCCAAATAACTGCTTCTTTTACCTCATAAGTGTATTGTTTTGTTTTGTTTTCTGCCAAGCATGTTTACATTGGGTGCCTAAATTCATTCTTCTCTGCTGACTGTTGTCATCTACCATATGCAACTATAGAGTTAGGGTCTGGCCCTTCCACTGTTTCTCTCTTCTACCTGCCTACTTGCCTCTCCTCCCTGTCTCCAATAAGTGTCTTTTTCTTGGAGCTGCTTGTTCAACTTTCCCCTTTCTGTAAAATCATACTGGTATGCCAATGTCCTGGGCACCCATCACATGGTCAGGACGCCTGTCCCCCAGGATCTGGATATTCTCTTGATAAACCACAATCCACTTGGGGATGGCCTCTGGATTAAAAATCTGTCCAATGGTAATTAACCTCCGTCCACTCACCCTATCTCTCTTCCCTGCCCCCTTCTCTCCCCTGTCTCCTCTCACTTTTTCTCTCAGGTGTTGATCTCCTTCTCTGTGCCCACCTCCTCCCTCTAATTCTTCTCATTCAAAACTGGACTCTTCAACTCCTCGTGACTACCCATCTATAAGAAGGCACTGGTAACAGCAAGAAAATAGAACATGAGCATGTGAAACTTTACATAGAAACAAAGACCATAAGGAAAGGGAGAGGGGTGTGTTATTTTAGAAATCTTTTAAAGACAATTTTCTTTAATAAGGTAATAATAAACTCTACAAAATAAAAGTCAATATCGCTTCTATAATTTAAGATAAGAATATAAAAATCGGCAGGGAAGAAAGAAGTAATGAGCATGGACTAGATTCTTCATATTTTATAGCATGTGCAGTTGCTAATTTTCATGCATTTCCAGCAGGTGTCAATAGATACTAATTTTACAAATTATATATATATATATAATGTATGTGGCAACTATCAGAGAAATTAAAAGCAGAGAAGTTAAAGTGGATGCATTTTAAAAAACAGCAATGCAAGCAAATTACTTGGTGCTTTGGGCATGTCATAAAAGCTAATAAAGGAGAGGACCTGAAAATGAAAGATCTTGTATACCTTGCACTGTTATTAAAATTATCTGATGTTATTTTATGGTGGAAAAGTCCACAGTAATACTAATATAAATGCACTGTAAAGGAAGGACAAGCAGAAGGCATCTCTCATATGTCAAACATATTTGCGTGCAGTTAGTGTGCTTACAGTGTTGTATGGTGAAAATGCTGTTTTCACTCATATTTTTATTATTATAATGTTTTTGTGAAACAAGGGCTCATTCTGTAGCTAAGCCTGGGAACTCCCAGCAATCCTTCTGATTCAGCCTCCCAAAGTACTGGGATTTCAGATCTGTGCCATCACACCTAGCTATTTTATTTTTATTATTATTTCTTTACAAGCAATATTATTTTTTATGTATCTTAAGAAATCAGGTCATGTCTCAATTGCTATTTCCCACTGGTTCAAACTCTAACGGGAAATTCCCTACAGTCAGCAGCCCTTTGTAATGCAGATTGTTAGACTTTTGAGTGGGTTACAGACCTGGGGCAGAGCTGGGGCCAGAGAATCAAAAGGGATGGGTCTTGATCAGCCCTGAGCCACACCAGAAACGCGGTGTAGCCGGGTGGGGTCAAGATGGGGTTGAGCGTGCGGTGGCCAACAACGGGTTGTGCCGGGTATAAGAGTGGCGGGAGCACTCGAGCTGCGGGGCACGCACCCCGAGGTCGCGGCCAGGGTGAACGGGGAGCTGCGGAAGAGCGCGAGCTGCGGGGTGCGTGCCCAACGGTCAAGGCCGGGGTGCATGGTTGCTGCGGGGTGCAGGCCCGAGTGCGCAGTACCTTCCCAGCGCAGCTCGCCTCCGGGCTCGCGCTGCAGGAACTTGTACCAGAACGTGTCCACACGGCCCGCGTCCTCGTGGCCCGGCTCCGCCCCGCCGGCTGCCGCCTCGTCGGGGACCAGCTCCACCTCGGCGAGCCACAGGCCGGGCTCCTGCAACGCCATCGCGGCCGCTCCTGCCGCGGTGCCCGCGGGCCTGAGACGCACGGCGCCTCGCGGCTCCCAGCGCCCCAGCTCTGGCCGGGACCCCGCGAGCAGCAGCTCCGGCCGAGCGCCGGCCACCGTCGGTGGCACCACCACACCGAAGCGGAACAACATGGCGGTGGCCCCGGTCCTGGGAGTCTGGCGAGCGGTGGCGGCGGCGCGAGCCCCGGGGCTGCGCGGACACGTGCCGCGCCGCGCGTTTCTGGCCGGGTCACGCGGCCGCGGGTTTGGGTTCCCGGAAGCGGGTACTAGGGGCCCGCAGAAGGCTGCGATCCATAGTGAAGCTAGGAAAGAGGAAAATGACACCAAGGCATTGTCCAGTCGTCTTCCTGGAGATCTGAAATTACCTTGACTAAGTCAAGAAGGAAGAACTTAGCAGCTAGCCTGAAACCCCCGCCCCAGTGCAGTTGGCAAGGATCCAGTACTCTCAAGCACCCCAACATTTAGAGTCTAGGGGCCTCTGATTGCTAAGTGGGAATAATGCATATGGATAACGATCTTTAGAGACCCTCCACTCCAAACGCAAAACCCAGAGTTCATCAGACACACAAGAGTATTTTCCCTTGCCTAGGAAGACTGCAGAGGAAAAAAAAAAAAAAAGATGTGTAAGTTTAGAAACAAGGTTTCATTGACTGTGGAGACCAGACTGGTGTCAAACTTTTGAGATCCTCCTGTTCTTCCTAGGATTACAGACCTACATCAGCAGAACCCAGCTACCTGTGACTGTCTGTCTTTCTGTGTCTGTCTGTGTGTGTGAGAGAGAGAGAGATAAAAACCTGTTGTGTAAAATTTCCTTCTTGTAAGCATTATCACTAGTTGTTTTTCACCATAAAACATCTTTGGGTTTTGTTGTTTGGCCAAAAGTAAAAGATACATCATGCCATGAGAAGGCAACACTTCAACTTGTTATTGATATGGATAAAGAAATGTTCTGTTTACATTCATTGTTCTTAATTGCTTTATAGAATTACTTTCATATTCTTTATATACTCATCAATGTTTAACCTGATACACATCACTGAAATTTGTTAAAAATCACAAGACGCATAGCTGTCAATATTTGGAAGCTGGTGTAGGAGAAAAACAGAATTTCATGCACACAGAAAATCTGTAAAACAATGGTAGAAAAAAAAAGTAAAATAAAGAAAAATTACTTTGCAGAACAATTAGTAAAAGAATACTACACGTCACTCGTAAACACTGACATTCCACTTAAAGTTTTCTTGGTTGCTGCATTTAAAGATAAACATGAAAATGTGAAGACAGTGAGGCCAAACTCCAGTGATTCAGTAACAAATCAGAGGAGACCTGAAAAGTGGCAAACAGGTCAGCTTATTTCAGTCTCTGTAACAAAACATTTTTTGAATTAATTTTGGGAAGATCATGGTCATTTGGCCACGTAAAGAGAAGTACTTACCTATTTTGGAATTCAGACTTTAGTAACACTTGTTTTGGACTCTAACTCCTTAGCTTTCTTGTTGTGTGGTACTGCCTGCACTGCATGTTTTTCACGTAAAATTCTTCCAGGCCTCCAGAGTGAGTCCTTCCCCCATCATAAGTGAAATAATGGCAGAAAGAGAAAACATGTCGGTTCAAAAGACTTTTACTTTTTCTTCTTTTTCATTGTAAAGAGTCTAAATGTGTTAACTGTTGGACGAAGAACTCTTCTCAACCACTAAACAAAATATGTGATAGTTTTTAAATTCATTTTTTTATTAATTACAAATTATTCACTTTGTTTCCCAACTGTTGTCCCCTCCCTCATCCCCTCCCAATCTCACCTTCCCTACCTCTTCTCCACCCATGCCCCAGTCCACTGATAGGAGAGGTCCATCTCCTCCTCCCTCTGACCCTAGCCTATAAGATCTTATCAGGAGTAGCTGCACTGTCTTCCTCTGTGGCCTGGTAAGGCTGCACCCCCCTCAAGGGGAGGTGATCAAAGACCAGGCCACTGAGGTCATGTCAGAGACAGTCCCTGTGCCCATTACTAGGGAACCCACTTGGAGACGGAGCTGCCATTGGCTATATCTATGCAAGGGTTCTAGGTTTTCTCCATGACTGGTCCTTGGTTGGAGTATCAGTCTCAGAAAAGAATGCTGGGCCCAGAGTTTTTGGTACTGTTGCTCTCCTTGTGGAGCTCCTGTCCCTTCCAGGTCTTTCTATCTCCCCCTTCTTTCATAAGATTCCCTGCACTCTACCTAAAGTTTGGTTACGAATTTCAGCATCTGCTTTGATATACTGCAGGGCAGAGTCTTTCAGAGGTCCTCTGTGGTAGGCTCCTGTCCTGTTCCCTGTTTTCTCTCTCTTCCACTGTCCATCCGTTTGCCTTTCTGAATGAGGATTGAGCATCTTACCCAGGATCCTCCTTTTTGATTAGCTTCCTTAGGTGTACAGATTTTAGTATGATTATCTTATATTATAAGTCTAATATCCACTTATGAGTATACACCATGTGTGTCTTTCTGCTTCTAGGATACCTCATTCAGGATGATATTTTTTAGTTACAATTTACCTGCAAATTTCATGATTTCCTTGTTTTTAATTGCTGAGTATGTGATAATTTATTTAAGGCCTAGATCTAAATATGGTAAAAAATTGATGGTTACATTGTGTACCAGGCAAAGCTCAAGTGGAAAAGAGAATATCAAATTATGGATTAAGCAACATATGTATACATCTTGACTGTCAGTCATTTGGCTATATCAACCACAGTAATAGCCACCGAGACCTTATTATGGGCAAGAAACATTTTTTCTTCTTAGATTATCTCATTTGACTCTCTCTTCCAACACTCTTATGAGGCAACTAAAATGTTATCTCCATTTTCAGATGCAAGAAAACTCAGGTACAGAAGGGGTCAGTCCACAAGAAGCAAATGCTCACATGCTAAAAGGCATCAATTTTTCTAACAGTGAAATATGTACAGACAGGTATACAGTTTGGTAGAAATTTTCTAAATGAAGTGCATTTAAATCCATAGTTTTTTTTTAAGTTTTATTATATTTACTCCCCAATCCCTGTGTGTGTGTGTGTGTGTGTGTGTGTGTGTGTGTGTGTGTGTATGTGTAGATTAGAGAACAATTTTTAGGAGTCGACTCTTTTCTTCTTCTACCATACGGGTCCTGGGGATTGAAGTCAGGTCATCAAGCTTGACAGCAAGTACTTTCACCTGCTGAGGATTCTCACTAGTCCTCCAACCATATTAAAATATTATTGTCTTTCATCTTTTAATAAAAAATGAATGTCTTGTGATTTGCTATAACTAATTTAATCCCTCAGAATGATAGATGAGCCTCTGATGAAAGTTTAAAGTTATCAATGAGTCTGTACAAACTTAAATATTTCGATACATAGGAAGAGTTTGACTTTAAATCATAGAAAACTAAGGATTTATGTGCTTATACACCTGTATGACACCTCATATAGGCCAGACTGGTCCCAAACTCAGGACATGTGCTAATTGCCCCTAAATTCCTAATCCTTCTTCCCAGGCCCCCAAGCTCTGGGATTTCAGGCTTGAACTATCACACCTGTTTTGTGCATTTGTTGTGTGGACACCAGAAATACAAACATACATATTCATATTCATATACATAATCACTAGATAAAGAGTCTAGCAGAGAGATACACATCTATATATCTATAAATATGTATATATAGAGATATATATCTATACATAGATATATAAGACATATAGATACGTATCTATATGTAGATATTTATCTACATATATAGATATTGATATGATATATAGCTATAGATAGATACAGATAGATATAGCTATATCTTATAAATATATCTATAAGACACATAAATATATATCTATGTATAGATATCTGAATCTATCTGTATCTACATCTATATTTATATAGAGAGATATATCATATATATTTATAGAGATGTAGATATCTATGTAGATAGATATAGTATATGTATATATGTATATATAGTATATGTATCTGTATATATTTATGTATATATCTATATTTCTATATATTTATATAGAGATATATATTCTTATATATAGATATAGAATATACATATATTCTTATATGTAGATCTATATATAGAGATAGATAGATAGATAGACAGATAGACAGATAGATGGATAGCTCGATCTCTCTGCTAGAACATTTATTCAGTGGTTGAATTGCATTACACACAAATCTTTTTCTTTTCCTTTCTTGGATTTCTTTTGTCAAATTTCCCCTTATATTTCAAATAATGTTGGTATTTATTCAAAGAGATTATTTATTAAATCCATTTGCAGTCAGATTTAAATGCTATGGTGATATGCTAAATTTAGAGCAAAAACTGAGCTCAGTGGAGTAACATCATTCTAGTAATCATAATGATTACTAGACCAACCAAATTTTTATTATCGAATTCCATCTTATATATAGCTATAGTATTTCTTGGAGAATGGGTAATAAATTCTAACCTAAGAGTTCAAGACCCAATTCAAATATGCATTCTTTCAAAATCCCCTTGGAAAAGCCATTACTTGGTCCTGTTGTGATTTATGTTTTTGACTCTGTCTTTCACCAGCCAGGAAGCTGTAAATCTTCCCTTGCAATACTCTATGTAGATGCACAGTCTTGGATAGAAGTCACATGTTTGAATAGCTCTGGGGGCAGTTTAAGTATCAGTTTTTTACTTCAAAGAACACATCTAAGAGTTAAATGTTGTACAAATACTTTCCTAATTTTCCTGCCTTAAAGAGCAGAACCCAGAGAAAGTTTGATTAGAGCTTAGAAGTGTGTATTAGCTTTTTTTTTCTGCACTGGAAACAGTGGGTTGGGCTTTTCAAAACTGAAATATGTGGGAGAACAGAAAGATATACGTTACAGTAATGATTTTTCTCAAAACTTCAGCATTTTTCTGATGATTCTTCTGCCTGGCCACCCCATCATAGAGGTCTGCCTTCCTTGGTATATCATCACCATTTTTTGTCATGCTCCTTTTCCTTATTTATACCATAATCCTTCTTTATATTTATATTCCTCACTTATACTATAAAAAAGTTCATTTGAAAGCTCTCCCTAAGGGGCTGGAGAGATGATTCATCAGTCAAGGGCATATGCTGCTCCTGAGGACTGGAGTGCAGTTGCCAGCACCTATGACTGGCAGCTCACAACTTCCTACAACTTTAGCTCTAGACAGTTCAACATCCTCTTCTGGCCTCTTCAGACAGTTGCTCTCCCCTGCACATACCTCTACACAGACACACATGCATACCCATAATTAGACACACACACAAAAAGATCCCAACTATACAATTACCATTTCATGACATTTCAGAAAGCATTGCGCCTCCCTTTCCCTGCCCAGCTCACTCCACCCTCCTCCCTCATTGTGAAATCACACCACCTGCTACTGCTGTCTATTCTGTTTCTCCTTTTGAGTGAGAATTAAGCATCTTCACTGGGGTCCTCCTTGTTATTTAGCTTCTTTAGGTATGTGGATGATTGTGATGTAAAGTAAATAAATTTTTTTTAAAAAATTAAAAAATTTTAAAAAAACACACCTCCTTCTTCAACTGAAAACCCCTAATCAACAAGGCCTTTGTTAAGGCAGTGACCTAAATGAATTCTGCCAGGAGATAGTGAGGGCCAATGTGGTTAGACCTTGAAGTTTAAGGCTTCCTTCAGATATAAGAAGAGCCTAAGTTTTTAGTAAGTTGGTTGATAGATGCCCAGTGCCTTTCTTTAAAACACCTAGTGGTAGCTGGAAGGGGTGTTTTCATGGGCACTTGAAAAGATTTAGAGAAAAAAGGAAGAAGCTTAGTAGAATAGAGATTTTTTGTTTTTGTTTTTGAGTAGTACAGCGCATGGGTAGGAACAAACCTAGAAAAAACTATTTTTCACAATTTGAACTTTCTATAATTAACTCTGTTTATTTTTTCTAACCACTGTATTGCATTATAGTAAGAATAAACATAATGTTTATTCTTATATTTTGATAATGTCTTATATTTTGAAACGTGGTTTCGACTTCCTTTATAGACCAGGCTGGCCTCAAACTCATTCTGTCTCCTGGGTGCAGGAATTACAGGCATGTACCACCACATTCACTGAGTAAAAGTATTTCAAGTTTAGCTAACCAGGTTCTTTTCCTCACTGGGGACCTGGTGAGTAATGGCTGCAAACAAGTCTCTGGAAGTAGTGTGTGTAACAGGATGTTTGGTGGGCTGCCAAGAGGATCCATGGAGACAGTTGCTGGTGGATAGTGACATGTCTGTTTTCCATGCTTTCCCAAATCTAGGCTTCAGACAGGTGCATAGCATGCCTTTGGGAGCTCCTGGGCACAGTGGCCAAGATTCACACTGGCCAGGCCATCATGTCCTTCCACTCTGAGCTGTAGAATAAGGAATGTGAGGTGGAGGACCTATGCAGAGCCATGTTCAAGGTCCCTGGAAACCACATCTCATAGAGGTGAATGAGCTCCACTAAGTTTAAAGTGGGTAAATTTGAAGATGTGCCAGCTGAGAAGTGTCTCATCCCTGATGGCTTTGGGAAGAAATATATCCCCAATCATGATCTTCTGGCAAATTGCATGCCTGAGGGCTTCCTGTGTGCTGGACTCCATACCTTGCAAGTCATACTCACCAAAAAACTCTTGCATCAAATCTAGAAAGGGAAAAGGTGTTTTAGAAATGAAGCAGACTGGGTTCAGGGTGAAGGCAAGTTTGATATCATTCTTTCTAGAAAATTTTATTGTGGGTATTTGATGTGCATGTGCCCATGTATCTGCAGATGCTCCATGGAAGTCAGAAAAGGGTTTTGGGGATTCATTCAGGGAAATTTCACCATCAGAGTACAAGGTGTCTCAAGAGGATGGCTCAGCTATGAATACCGTGGGGAAAATGCACTGTTGCCTGTCGACTTCTGTTTCTTTCTGACCCAGTGCATCTACTGCTTCTGCTCCTTCCTCTCCTGTCCTCAAAGTCTGTTTTCCTCCACCTTCCTCTGTAGACAGAATACCAGAGACTCTAAGGATGTCCCAGGCCTGCAATGCTGGGTTGCTACTGAAGTACCCAGCTTCATGAACTGAGCAGCTACTCAGTCTCTCCAGCATGTGTATGCCCACTGCTGGACTGAGATCCTATTATGTAAGCCAGTGTAATAGACCCCCATTTATTTATTTTTTCTTTATTAATTACACTTTAATTCACTTTGTATTCCCCCTGTGGTTCTCTCCTTCCTCCCATCCCAATCCCTCCCTTCCTCCACCCTCTGCATGCATGCCCCTCCCCAAGTCCACTGATAGGGGAGGACTTATTTTCCTTCCTTCTGATCCTAGTCAATTAGGTCTCATCAGGAGTGGCTGCGTTTAGACCCCCATTTATAATGGGTATTTGTGTGCACACACTATCACTTTTGTTCCTCTAAAGAACCTGCCAAAAGTTAAACATACAGTTGCCAAACAATCTGTCACTTCCTTTCCTCTATAAGAAAACATGTCACTCAAGAGTTCTTGAATTGTTATGGCAACATCACTCAGTGTAATTCTAACCCGTGATAACCCAAATTTTTGTCAACTAGTAAGTGGCTCAACAACATTTATATTGTAGGATGTGATGGAATAAAAACAATGATAGTAACAGTAAGCACAAAGCACCATGCATAGTATGATTCTATATATATTAAATGTGCAGACTAAGCAGCTCTGCAGAGGTAGGAAGCAAGTTATATGTTGTCATGGACTAAATGGTAGAGAAAATAGTAAATAACTATTAAAAAGTTACAGTTCTTTGCAGAAGTGCCAAAATGTTTTAATATTAGTTGTAGTGACAGCTACATGATACTGAAGTCTCTGGGTTATACACTTTCCACAGACAACTTGATTGGTAGAGAGATGGCTCAGTGATTACAAGAACAGCACTGGCTGTTCTTTCAGAGGACTAAGTTCAATTGCCAGCACCCACATGGTAGCTCACAATTGTCTGTAACTCCAGTCCCAGGGAATCGGCCACCTGCTTCTCACCTCTGTGTATACTGAATACACACAGTACATAGACATTCACGCAGGCCAAACACCATACACATGAAATAGACAATAATAAAAATTATTTTTCAAGTAGATGATTTATATGGCATATCAATTATACAAAATTATTCTGTCTGGCCTTATTAAGTTATTTGAGTGCCTACTTTTTTGAGACAGAGTCTGGTATGTATGTAGTCCAAGCTACTCTCAAGCTCATGTTGATACTCCCGCCTCAATCTTTCAAATATTAGGGTAAAGTAGTCCACAGCTTTCAATAGAGAGTGTCCATAAACCTAATTACTTAGACTTTAGAAAAGCAGATTTGCATCTTCTACCCTACATCAGGGTACTGTTTTGTAAAAATGTTGTATTACAAAGATATTTACTTGCTAAAAGCAATTTCATTTACTTAACAACCTGGTAAGTTTGGTAACTTAAGGATATTATTAAGTGTGTGTTAGTCTTTGTAGAGGTAGATGAGAACAATAATTTTTAATTTATTCAAATTCTTCACCCAAAGACATCTACTTGTAAAGCAATATAGTAGAAGTTTTGGTTTCTTTGTAAACTCAGTTATGTTATGCAAATATGTTGTTTTAATCCCAAGTGTGGGATTTTAATTGGACTATACTTTGTCTACAACTGTTCATTGTCTCATTCGGAGCATGGCTTTTACCAGCTGGTATCAGCTTTCCACGTGTAGCACAGATAGGTGCTTGACCTAGGATTCTGGAAAATATAAATGTGAGAGCTGAGAAAGAAGTGGTGGAGTGTAGCACTTTGGAGAGACTGGAGATGGATGGTGTGGTGTTTTGGAGTGGACAGATAAAGAGATCCCAGTTCCGCCAGGCCCTTGGTCACCAGCCCAGAGCTACACACCAGCACAATCTGGTCACGGTCCCAGACTGAACTGTGGGCCCACAACACCATAGACTGGATTTCCCAGTCGAGAGATAACCCAACGGAGCAGGAAACAATTGGGACCGACCTCAGGTTACACAGACATCCCCTGGAAAAGACTTGGGTTCCGCGGGTGCCCCAAGAGCCAGCACGGACCCAGAGCCAGGACACAGGCGCCTGCACGGAGCCCTGCCTGCGCGCCTGATTCGCTGCCTCAGATAGAACTGTGGGCACCAGGGCACCAGGGCACCAGACTGCGTGTCTCTAGCAGGAGGAAACCCCCAGCAGAGGGGGTCAGCAGCTCTAACGCTTAGGACACCCAGCACCAAAACACTTCCTGGACTCACACAGACTCTAGTGCAGGCAGGAGCACTGTGCTCTGCCACCATTATTGAGTTCCCCTAGGGCACTGGGACGCACAGCTGCATCCTCAGACCTACAAAAGCCAGAGAGCCATTACAGCAGCCCTCAGATACTGTGCCAAGGATCAACCAGTTATCCCTAGCTAGACTGACAGAACTGTGGGAATCTCTGGTCCTTCAAGAGGGCTGCACCCACAGCATCTGGACCAAAGCAGTGCCTGCAGCCGACATCCCAGACAGGGACACAGAGCTTCTGGTCCAGAGTGAGGCACCCAGCCTCCAGACCAGAGCAGCGCCCCCAGGTGCCATCTCAACCTAGGTGCACATTCTCCAGGCCCAGAGCGGAGCAATCAGCCTCTGGCCCAGAGACTTGCTGGGCACTCCTCTCACTTTCCTGGACAGAACTGTGTGCCCCAGGATAACAGACTGAGTTTCCCTGTTGGGAGAAAACCCCACAGCTAGGGAATCAGCAGGTTCTTCAAGAGGACTGTACCTGGAAAAATGTAACAACAGCAGCAGCTCACTAAATTTATAACAAGCAACCCAGTAGTGGGGCAGCTGTCTTGAGAACTTCTATGGGTAAGAGGAGATCCCCCCCTGCCTAACAAAGACCACAGCTACTACTCAGGGCTATACAACTGAGGTGAGCAGTGGCAATTCCTGAGAAACACTGGCCATACAGTGACCATAACCAAAAAGCAGAGGAGGACTCCTTTAGGAAAAACCATCTTCCGGCCAAGGGGATACTCCATACCTCAGGACTCCAGGAAGCACAGAAACTAACAGCCAACACCTAAAACAGCCCAATGGGTAGAGGTCAGCATAAAAGCTCAACCAACAAAAGACAGAGCAATATGGCATCTCCAGAACCCAGCCATCCAGGGGTGAACAGCCCTGAACAATGCAGCATAATAGAAAATCAAGAAGATGACCTTACATCTATGCTGATGAAGAGGATAATAGAGGAAACAAATAAAATACGTAAAGAATTAGAGGAAGATAAAACCAAACAGATCATGGCTATCCGTAAAGAAATAGAGGAAGTTAAAGACAAGCAGATTAGGGCCATCCATGAAGAAATACGGGAAGATGCAGCCAAACAGCTTGTGGCCTTCAGAGAAGAAATAATTAAATCACTGAAAGAAATAAAAGAGACAGAGTTGAAGGAAATAAAAGAAAAAGAGGAAAATACAAGCAGACAGGTGAAGGAAGTAAACAAAACAACTCAAGACCTGAAGATAGAACTAGAAAAATTAAAGAAAACACAAATGGAGGAAATAATGGGGAGGAAGAATTTAGGGAAGAAAACAGGAACTACAGAGGTAAGCATAACCAACAGAATACAAGAAATGGAAGAAAGAATCTCAGGTGTAGAAGATCAATGGAAGAAATTGATGTATCTGTCAAAGAAAATGTTAAATCCAAAAAATTCCTGACACAGACCGTCCAAGAAAACCAAGACAATATGAAAAGACAAAACCTAAGAATAATAGGAATAGAGGAAAAAGAAGACTCCCTTCTCCAAGGCCCAGAAAATATTTTCAACAAAATCATTGAAGAAAATTTCCCCAAGTTAAAGGAGAAGCCAATAAGGATACATGAGGCCTACAGAACACCCAACAAATTTGACCAGAAAAGAAAATCCTCCCGCCACATAATAATCAAAACAGTAAGTATACAGGACAAAGAAAAAATACTAAAAGCTGCAAGGGAAAAAGGCCAAGTAACATATAATGGCAAACCCATTAGAATCACACCTGACTTTTCAACAGAAACTATGAAAGCCAGAAAGGCCTGGACAGATATCATGCAGACCCTAAGAGGACACAGATGTCAACCCAGGCTACTATACCCTGCAAAACTCTCAGTCCTCATAGACGGAGAAAACAAGATATTCAATGACAAAAACAAATTTCAAAAATACCTACACACAAATCCAGCATTACAGAAGACACTGGAAGGGAAA